TCTTCTCATGCACCCACTAAGGGTCCCCGTTCAAAACTGTGCCCCCCCCAAGGGGTCCCCTTTTTTAATGCACCTCCCTTTCCTCCTATGCCTGCCCAAGAGCCCCTCCATCTCATTCAATCCCTCCCCTCATCCTACCCCCCATCCCCACAGCAATCGGGGCACTCCCCTCAGCGCATATGGGTCTGACCCCCCCAAGATGCAGTTCCCCGAGGCATGCAGGGAAACTCACCTGTGCCCCCTCCCACATGCACACATCCTACATGTCAACATGTGTGTGCACAAGAACACACACAAGCTGCGTGCCCAGAGCCCGAGGAACCCTGGTAGAGCTCACGTGTTTGGGGGCACAGGCAAAGCACAGCCATGCATGGACACGTATGAACATGCACACACCATTACACAGAGTCTCCCCCCTCCCCTCCCACCCCACATGCATGCACAAGAACACGGGCCTAGGCAGCAGCGTGCAAACGCCTGGCATGTGCTGTACCCAGGTGCCAACCGTGCCAAAGCACACATGCATGTCAGCGTGTGTTGAATACACGCGTGTGGACATACATGTGAAACACCCCCCCCCACCGCTGACATGCTAACACATGTGTGACTCCGCCCCTCCCCCCCATGTCCAATCACACACAGCAGGCCACACAGCTCCCAAAACAGGCGGGGAAACCCCCGCCAGAGACGCGGGCTCCCATTGGCCCGTCCCGGCGCCTGCGTCAGAGGCCGGGCGGGACTATTTGGCGGAGGGATACAGTCTGCAAAACTTTTCCCTCCTTCTTCTTCGGCCCAACTTTTTCCTAGGTGGGAGGGGCGGAGAGTCTCACTTCCTGTCTGGGGGGGGAAGGGGATGGGTCGGCCCAATCAGGGCGCTCCAGGCCCCTTGCAATGGGGCCAGAGCCCTATGCGACCCCAACACCCCACAACCCCATGCTGTCCCCCTCCACCCTAGCCCAGTGCTACCAAGATGCAGCCACTTCTGGGGCGGGGCGGCCAGTTACCCAGGGACCCCTTGGCCGGCACTGAGATGCAGCCACCTCTGGGGCGGGGCGGCCGGTTACCCGGGGACCCCTCGCCTGGCCCTGAGACGCCCCCGCCTCTGGGGCGGGGCAGCTGGTTACCCGGGGACCCCTCGCCTGGCCCTGAGACGCCCCCGCCTCTGGGGCGG